CTGCAATGGAAATCTGAAAAGTCCTTCCTAATCTCTCCCAGATTTCAAAAGGTATACACAATCTCACCTCTGAAACCACTCAGTTATAGGCTTAACAAGGAAAAAATAAAGGGGGGGATGTGCGGAGGTGTAGGTATTTTATTGTTTTAATCTAACGCAGAACCATATCTCAAGCAACACATCTGAAACTACACAATTAAGATGGCAAGTGGTAAGAACCAATACAGGCAAGAATAGACAGTTGCATAAAAAAAAAAAAACAACTTCCAGGAATTTTTATGGAGCTGCAAAAATATCACTGTTTTTCTAAGAACATATCCAAGTCCAATGTGTGGAAAATAAGCAAGATTATTATTTCAGCCATAGCACCACATTTTTTTCCTCTACTTTCTAATACTGTAATAGTAATTGATAATACTGTAAAAAGGTTAAAAGAGCACATGACTTGATCTGTGACTAACAATGTTATTTCTCCTGAGATGGAACTATAACTGTTCTGATTACTTCAAAGAACTCTTTTCATGGTATAAAGTTTTCACTATCCTCTTCAATACCTATTGCTCCAGCTGCAGTGATGGCAAAGCACACGTTGTATAAATTACATTTGAACTCCATAACCTGAAATATACCACGAAACAAATGAAGCATCAGAATATACTTCTAGTAAAAGTAACTGCATAAAACTGGATGCCATATATAAATCAATCCCACCACAGTTTGGTTGGTTGGGTTTTTTTCTTGGTTTTGTTTTGTTTTTTAATTCTACAGCTCATTCATTAAATTCTGGAATTACTAGTTCCAGCAATAGTCAACTAAGAAGACTTCTTAGCAGAAGAATAAGAAACACTTTAGGGTGCTCAGCCAACTTTAAATGCTAATTCACAAGAAGCAAACTAAATTACTAACAATAAATGTATTTTCTTAAGTGTCCATTCCTATTGAGGACCGTCTATCAAAACAAAGCAAATACAGAATCTTAATCTGATATTCCTACAGAAAAGATGTATCCAGCCTGTACTACAATACTGGGCACTTCCAAAGCACCCGCTTAGAACGCCAGCTGCACAGCAAAAGCAACATACAAGGTGTATGCCTTGCTTATGTATTAATCTCTCCCCAGTTCAGTTTTAATGAAAAATTAGGACTATGGATGAACAGGTGTTAAGTCACAGGTTAAGATTCTAAGACCTTCTATTAACTGAAATGTTCCATTAAAGCTTTCAGTGTATATTTTGTTCAAAGCCAAGAATAAGAGATGTAATTTGGACCATAAATTGATACTGACCATGGTAACCCGACTGAAGGTGATTTATAGCTTACTTTACCTTAAACTAAAGGTAACTAAACATTCCCTTCAGTCGGAAGATCCTTGAAAACAAGATTTAACAAAGCTTTTATACCTACTATTTTTCACGCATATGCATGTGTGACAGCTAAACTGTTGCCAAAACAGTGACAAGTATATACAGTTGCATCTTGCCTCTCCCATGAGGGAAGAAAACAAAAAAGGCATCTGTGAAAGGTTTAAGTAGAAGTCTAGGAAGAAGCTGAAACTGGAAATGTCAAGGGGAAAGATGTCACACTTGCCTTCATCATCATCATCTTTTTCTTTCTCCTCCAGTGCTTGCTTATCCAACTGTTTTGCTATGTCATCAAGCGCACCTTCCACTTCTTTATCTGTTTCTTGTCCTGTAAAATTAAAGTATGACTTACAGCAAAAGGATAGCTCCGTATTAGTAAACAATACCCCCAAAACTTATAAACTATTATGCTGCAGTCATCCTATAGAGACCTGAGCATATGGCACTTTTTTTTTTCATTTTTAAAGCAGATCCAATGTCTAAGATTGTAGTGCATTACAGTGACAGGTACTGTTACTGAAACTTGTGCATTACTCAGACATTACCCAGACGCTTCCAATTACTTTTTTTTTCCTGCCTGGATAACAAACTCCTTCTGCCATCGCAGCCGCGTGCTCTTGTGAGATAATAAGGGCGTGAAGTAGATAATTATAAAAGCACAGCACGATCATCACAAACTGCTAGCATGCTAAAACAAACCCAAACCGTAGTTCCTCTACACTAGTTGCCCAGACTTGCTCCAGCCCTCTCAAGAGAAGCAGGGAGGAGTACCAAGACTCCATCACGCGTGATGACTTTTACAGCAGCCGCCTTACGCCCTTCTCCCCCTCAGGGCATAGGAGGTGAGAAGACAAGGGGTTGCTTCTCCTGCGTGCACAGGAGCAGGTAGGACTTCCCTCACCCCAGCTCCCCCGGTGCTGAACGGCAGCAGCAACGGCTGCAGCATCCTCCCGGCCCCGCCAGCCCCCTCCTCGCCCAGGGATCCCCCTCGGCCAACACAGCCGCCGCGGGCCGAGACGGCGGCGCCCATCACGCCACCCGTGCCCTGCACGGCAGGACCTTCTGGCCACCTACAGCCACCCGCTGCCGCGTGCAAAGCCCCTTCTGCCGGCTTGCAACCCCCTCAGGCCGCCCAACAGCCCTGTCAGCGGAGAGTCCCGGCGCGACCCGACCCGGCCCCTACCCGCGGGGCCCGCTTTGCCCTTCTTTTTCTTCTTGCGCTTCTTCTTGGCACCATCCTCCGCGCCCAGCCCTGCCGCGCCGCCCTCCGCGCCGTCCTTGTCCTCAGGCTCCGGCGGCAGCTCGCCGTTGAGGTGCTGCTCCGCCTCGGCGGCGGCACTACCCGCCTGCCCCACGCCCGCCATGTCGCCGCGGCCGCGCCGCCTCCCACACACGGTACGGTAGGGTAGGGTACGGCGCGCTGCGCGGCGCGGCGCTGGAAAAGAGCAAGCGAGCGGCTGAGCCACTCCTCCACTCTATGGTGAGCGCGGGGCACGCCGGGAAGGCTGGAGGCCTCCTCGCGCACCGCCCACTCAGGCGCGCACGCGCGCCGGGTCCCGGCCGCCGGTGGAGGGTGTCGGCCGTTGCGGTACCGGGTGCTCCCGGAAGCTCGCGGGCCTCGTACCGGCTGCTCGCGGATCCGGCCTCCTCCCCGCCTGCGGTCTCTGCTGTAACCGCAGCCTGCTCCTACGTCACTTGCCCGCTGCGCGCCGCCGCCATCGCTGTTGTCAGCCTCTGTCCTAAGCGCGGTCGTGCGGTGCTTCCTGTTTGTAGTCCCAACGGACGCCCAGAGCTGTGACCACATGGCGTTTTGGGGGCGTGGGTTTTAGCTTGCGCCCCTGAGTGTGCAAGGACCTCTGCAGTCACCTGCGTATTGCAGCCTGGCTGGAATCGGAGGGGTTCAAACTGCTTGGGTGACCCAAAACGCACACCCACACGGCTGGGTTTCAGTTTGGAGAGTCAGTGAAGTAAGATGGCACGCTGGTAGCCATTGCAAAGGGAGGTTTCAGAAATGCAGGCAGAGACTTGCTCTTTCTTCATCAGCAAGTATATTCTTCCAGCAGGAACAGCTGCCGTGAAATTCTTACACCGTTTCAGATTTTACAGATAAGAACGCTGAACAAATGAACAGTCGCATGCCCATGGTAGGGGGGTTGGAACTGCATGATCTTTGATGTCCCTTACAGCCCAAACCGTTCTGTGGTTCTGTGTGAGGTAACTTGCACAGAAGGAAAATAGTACCAGAAAAAAAGAATTTGTTCCATGTCCCATGGAGCAAAAAACAAGAGATTCTAATACATGGCAAATGGCTCTTCCTTGTCCTGTTTCCACCACTACCTAGAAAACCAAGGGGAAATACCAGTATTACCAGCATCCACTAATGGTTCATTAAATCAGCTTAATTCTTAAAGTTCCTCTACCAAGTTCACACTTTTCACAGGCCTTCTACTAGTATAATCATGATGGCTAAAAATACTTTTTTTCCCCTCCCCTTCCTTACTGGCATATTTTAACAACTCTTGCCTGAGATGTATTTATAGTATATAGTATAATATAGTGTCATGATAGTTTGTAATATACACCAGTTATAAATGGGCCTTATCCTGCATAGCCATGTTTTAAAATGCTTCTGCAGCCAGGTCTTTGCTTGGGAAAGGTGCTTTGTACCTTGGGTACGATGCATGGTACCTCACTGAGGTTCAAATTCTGCCCCCTCAGACAGTTCTCAGCAAGCACAAGACTTCAGAAGACTAAGCTCATGCTCTAGTACCGATCAAACAAACTCCATCCTGCTTTGTGCAGGTGTCACAGTGGTATGTTCTCCAGTGCTTTGGCTTCTAAGAACAATCAAACATGGAAACATCCAGCTGTGCCTTTCATGGTAGTGGGATGGGTGCTGGGAAGTTGACTCCTCTGGGTTTAAGGCATGTTCAGAGCAGTGAGACATGCCCCAGCAGTTGGGAATTGCAGTATTACCACTTATTCCTCCTTTAAACCATGTTTTTTATATGCTAGTGTCAATTAATGCTACTGGACCACCTGTAGGAGGGTCCTATTACTATGTGTAAAGCAGAATAAACTTTTCACAATAGAACAGGTGAGCCATTTAACTCTTTTAACTGTTTTTTCTGCTGTTCTGTTGCCCTTACTCCAGTCAGAATTGATGTTGTCTGAAGCTGCTGAAGAGAGCCATGGAGAAATAACTCTTCTCATACTGAGAACGGATGACACAAAGGTATGTGCATTAATGTTGCCTGGGACACTTTTTCTTTATTCCTTTCCATTCCAGTTTTGTAATTAGGTAGAAGAGGAATATAAAAACCTGTTTGGTTTAGATTTTTTCTGTGGTTGGCAGAGGCAAGGATGACAATACATCATGGAGCATATTCCCTGAATTCTCCGTTTTGAGTAATCTTCGACCATTTTGTTGTACATTTATTGTAACTGGGCACTGTAATGGTCTAGAGAGATTCTATAGCAGTGTTTCTACTTCTGTGTTTGATTTTAATCCGTTAGCCTCTCATATACCAGCCTGTTCTTACCACTCACTATATTTGATGCCTTTGACAGATTGAAGAAGAGAGCTACAAGCTTGTGTTCCTGGTCCTTTCGCTCTGCTGTGTGCCAAAACAGACAAGTTGCCAGGCTATGGATTTTGTTGACTCTAGAACTGAAGTCATAGATAAAGTAGGGCATAAAGTCTACAGAACCTCAAGGGGACATGGAAGGAGAAATACTGACCAGAAATAGATAAAGGAAAAATAAGGCAGGTAAGAATACATGTGGTGCAGAGACTGCAGACATGAGAAATAAGGGCATCAGAGGAAAAAGGGCAACAAGCAGAACAAATATTTCTGTAATCAGCTGAATTAATGAATCCATTTTTCTCAGAGGGTTGTTTCTTTCTTCCCCAGAATGACTCCAGCACCATTTGTAATCACTGTGATAGCTCAATGGAGAGAGAGATATGGCTTGTACTGTATTAATATGTGTGCAGTTGGCCAGCTGACTGCTACCACACAGTTCAGTGGAGTTTGGTCTGTCTCTCTTCCTTGGGCCTCTGTCGTATACCCAGCTGCGTATTTTCACAAAGTGTGTTCAGGCATAATTATCTTTGGGTGTGCTATTCTGCCAAATATGGCTGAAATTTAACATTTATATAAGCCTCCTTTCCTTAAAAAAGTAGCCTGTAAAGAAATTGTGGACAGGGGTCACATTTCACTTAACAAAGAATATGTATGAAACCTAGCAGAGTGAAAAGAAGACCAGCAGTGAGATAGAAGAGGCAGGATTAACAATGTGTCTCTGCAGTTTGAGGTGCTGTTAGCTGAACCCAGAAGCATTATGTAAGCTGTTCATTAGTTTTGCAGAGAAGACGTCACATTGGGTGGAGCAAAGTTAAGCACCTTCCAGGTTACACTACTTCTAGACCTGGAATTAGCTTTATGCTCAATATAAGAGAGTACAGGTAGCTAACAGGGTAATAGCATGGTAACTAAGATGCAAAAATAAGAATGCTGTGTGAAAAAAAAAAGTGGGAGTAAAAAGCTGGACTGACTGTATTAACAAAGCAAACAGTAACATCAGCAGCCTGACATCTGGATTCCACGCTCCCCACCTGCCTGCCTTTAAGAGTATCTGGTCTCTTAGAAGCAGAGAGAGAGTCACACCTCGTAGCATGCCCTTACCAGTTCAGATCATTTTGTCCTTCTTCTGTTATTGCCAGTCAGCTGTTCCTAGCACTTAATACACATTATATTAATGAATGCTAGGTTTTTCAATTTCATGCTATACTAGGCAGCATGATAAGAAGACAGTATCAGACAGGCCATAGGCCAGAAGAGACATGTGAATACCATTTTTAGCTGGAGAGTAATACTGTTTTTTTTTGTTTTCTCACAGTGATTATTCCTATTTCCTAAGCAGCCTCCTGGACAAAGGCAGGCAGTAGCTGGGGAGTTGAGGGAAGAGCTGAATGCAGTCCACAACTTGGTAACTAAGCAGCAGGACTTAAAACTCTTAACACAGAGATTCACCTCTTATTTTTTTCCAAGGAGGCAGCTCCCATTGTGCGGTGTGCCTAGCATAAGAACTTATGATCTTCAGGAAAAGACTTTTTTAGGGTATGTTATGTTTTCTGTTTTCTTATCAAGCTGTATGCATCAAGAAATGGCATGGAACAGAGTGAAGGAGCTGTTTTTGACAGCTGCAGTTTTATCCTGGAAAGAAGGGGAGGAAGGATGACCAGGGAGTAAGGGGTGTATGAGTCCCAAGTTGATCAGAGGGATATTGTATTTGTTTCTGGTTTTATTTCTGGGACTGATGCCATTGTTTGTGTGTTTATGACACTTTAATACTCTTTTTTTTCCTAGCTTAGGGCTAAATCTCATAGCCCGTACTGAGCTCTGAAAATCCACTGAAGTCAATAGGACAATTTCTGTGACTAGAATATCAGGCCTAAAATCTGGATGTAGACAAAGAAAATGTTTCTTGCGTGAGAGCAGATATGTCTTATGAACTCTAGAAGAAGAAATATTCCGCCTCACCAATTGCTGAGAGCAGAGGACATTTGTATTTCCTCAGCCGTCAACACCCATACCATTTACTGTGGGAATGATAGCTGTAACTGAAAAGTATCTTCATTAACATGAGCAGGGTAAAGGTTTCCCTAATTCTGAAACCTTCTTTAAGATGATATTTAAAATCTAGATGAAGTAGCTAAATTGAAGTTAAGAGGTGACAAAAGCAGCCAAAAAATCCACATTTAACCCTATTCGCTGTGAACTTCTTTCCACACTCCTTAGCAATTTCTTTTTTTTTTTTTTTTGACTAAACACTAGTTAGATTACAGCCTCTCAGACATAAACCAAACATACTGGCTCATATCAGCTAGTGTCACAACATCTGTGCCCTTTGGAGGACAGGTTTTCAAAGGATGCAATGAGTGCTTCCAGAAAGAAGCAAATTTCATCTCTCTTGCTGCTGAAAGTCACCTTGAGAAGCACAGACTGCTGTTTGGGCATTCAGACTGGGACAAAGCAAGTGCTTTTCAGTTCACATGAATAGATTCATGCTGTGAAATAGAAAAGTAAGTCCTCTGAAGCTCATTTTTAAGATTGCTTTTAAGTTACAAGGTTCACATAAACTGAGCAAACCATTATCTGGACTAGTGCTTCAAAAAGACTCTGTATTTCTGTGATTAGGAACTAGTGCATTAGGCATGTATGCAGATATGTGCAGGAGGATGTGCTACAGTGAGCATCTGTCTCATAGTATACCTCTGTGCCTGTGTGCAGTCTTGGTAGGGGGTGGAAGGTTGCACAAAGGTCCCCACACTGGTATCTTTCAAACAATTTTTTTATATTTATCATAGTCATAAAACCTCCTTTTTTTTTTTTTAAGTAAAAGCACATTTATTGGTGTACTCACTGAATTGTAACTGCAGATGAAAGCAGTGGTCTTTTTCAGATAGCAAACTGAGACATTGCCTATTCTCAGAAATAATTGCAGGCCTTATCTCATGAAAATACTAGTTTAGAGTAGTATGAACCTAAAATATCAAAACCTGGTATTTTGGTCTTCAGGTTTGTAATCAACTTCATATAATCCTCAGATGCATTAATGTATTCCCATTCATGTAGTGCTGGTTCTTGTATTATTTGAAGCAGATTTTCAAGGCCTCATACAGAAAGTAATTCCTCAGCTTCACTGTTAGTATAAAAAAACATAGACTGTTTCTTTCTCAGAGCCTGCTGACATAACTATTTTCCTGTGGGGTCTTCCACCCCTTCTTAATTCTAGGGAGTAATAGAAGCAATGCTTACAGCTGCAGCACTGGGGGCAGGACCTGTGTATTTCTTTGACCAGGTATTTCTTTTATATACAGTGCATTCTACTTTCCTCTTTCCCTGAACACCTCTTACAATCTTACATTGGAAACATTCATTTTTTGTAGATGTAGGATTAAAGAGAAAGGCAAGAAGATACCAGAATTGTCTTCATATTTCACTGCAGATCTTCTTGCTGGCTTTACTCCCAGGTAATAAATAGTGTGACACCAGTAGTGGTGACAGCAGGGAAGATTCTGTCAACTAGTTTTCCAGAGAAGGTACAAAAAGGAGTCCCAAGGTAGATGTGGCCAAGGCAGAACAGGAGAGATGGGGGAGGCACATGACCAGAACTGGCACCCTGCCATGCAGTAAGAGCAGAGGGAGACAAGTGAGAAGGTGACAATGTCCTATACCTAATTCTCTGAGGTGTAGAACCTGATGTTCACTTCTGCTGTCAGCATTTCATGAGTTTAATATATTTAACATAAAAACCGTGAGCAGTTAATTAAAGAATGCCACATAATAACCTTGTTCACTGTTTTGGCGTGAACTGAACAACGGCAACATTGGCAGGTGCAGAGGTCTGTGTATTTCATGAAGTTCATGTCTACTGACTAATGAATTTGAAACTGGTGTTCACAGCATTCCTCTGGGGTGTGACGTCTCTGGATAACTGGGTTTTAAATTCAGGTTTCATCCCATTTGCTTTAAACTGGTTTGGTTTTTGTTGGGTTTTTTTGTTTTGTTTGTTTGTTTCTTTTGCCTACCTTGCTTTAGAATTTCAGAAGTTTACTCCAGGTTGTTTCCATCTATGCACATGTTTGTGTGCACATTACTTCAAGAGTGTAAGAAGCTACCACTGAAACTGGAGCAGGGTAACCATGCGGTTACAGCTAAACTTGTGTGTGGTTAGAGACTTGAGGACTAAGACTTCTTTTTGGTAAAATTTCTTTGTATTTTAGATTTTAAAACTCCTAAAAATTGTTAATAAATTTTCCACATTGGCAGTCCTCCAATTAAACTAAAATAAAGATTGCCCTCTCACAATTATGGAAGATCAGTGTTCTCAAACTGAAAAAAACACCCTCCCAAAACAGAAAATGGGTATGTAGAATCAGCAGTTGCTGGAGAAGACTTCTTTAGACACTTAAAAATTTCATTACACCTAAAGGTCTTTTGCATGTCATGTCTAAAAAGGCAAAGCTTTGGATTTATTTGATTACCATTTTATGGAGGCAAGAGAAAATGGTTTTACATAGGAGAGAAGAAACCAATCAGCATGTTACATTACATTACATTGCACTTCAGCAGGCATAATCTAAAGCATACACTGTCAGTGCAGAGGCTCACTGGTTTGGCAGTGGCTGCACTAAATCTCCTGGTGCTGCTCTGCACAGGTATTTCTGAGCTTGAGCTGGGAGTCTTCTTGGGAAGAAATGTAGCTCAGTCTCAGCTGTGAAAGGGAGCACTGCCAGCCTGTCCATGTATGTTTCAGGCAGCAAAGCTAACAGGTCTCTTTTCTGTGTTCTTCAACTGTCACTGCTCTCGCTTGATACAGCTTTTCTTTCTCCTCAGCCCAATTGAAGGCAATAGTGCCATCTGTACAGGTGAGTGTAAAAAAGGCATGAAGACAGTTTCTTAAACAATAAAATTACAAGAAAACAAAAACCCACCCAGTTTTGTGACAAGTGTCTTGTCACTCCATGTGTAAAACCACTACAGAGGACTCAAACCCAAAGATCTCCCAAACATCTTTGATCCCACAAGCAGATGAGGACTCGCCACTGAACATGTTGAATAAATCTGTGGCTGACAAAATGTTACAAGAACTTGGGAGAGAAGTTGTAGCTCCTTGCTAGGTATGAGACTGGTTTCCCTCAGAGGCTTGTGAATGTGCTAACCTGTAGCTGGAGAGAACTTGCTGAGGAGGTTGATTACCGTAAATGGCACCAGAAGTCACTAGTGTAAAAAAGTATGAGATCCAGGAGAAAACAAGCCTCTGCTCTACCAGCCTGCACTAGAAAGGAAAAAAGAAAACTTGAGACAGCATCAAACATGCCTTTAGGAAGTAAGGGTAACTTTGTGCTGGGTAAATGTGCTATGTTGTAATGTTTGGCCACAAAAGGGAAAAAAAGCACTTTCTGTTAAGACTACTCTCTCGTCTGGGTAGGCCGCATGCTCCACTTTATAGCTTGTTATATTGCAGCTCTCTGCAAAGCATCCTTTTAAGACATGATGAAATAGCTTTGCAGCTGAAGCAAGAGGTAAAAACACTTACAAGAACAAAGCCGGTGAAACTGGGCAATGTTTCAAACCATTTATCAAAGCATTTTTAGTCTCCTCTTTCAAGGTGAGTGATATAGTCAGAACATATTGCACCAGTAAAAAAAAACTTGCATCCAGAGTATTTCGTTAAGCAAGTGTCATTAATCCTCAGTGCAGAACTGTAGGTTTGAGTCAAGCCTTTTTTAGGTGTCCAGGTGCTACTGCAGTCTCCCTCTTTTTAAAAAAAAGAATAATCTTTGGGTTTATGTTTTTGAAAGCTGACTTACCTTTGCATGTATGATCATAAGCATTTCACTCTGCTTTCTTCCTGTCTAGCTCCTACTGTGCAAACTGATGCTGGCCAGTCACCCATCACAATCAGCTTCTCACTCTCATCCAACATTTGTGAGGAAAGAGGTAAGAGTAGCAGGCAGCTGAGCTGGATGGCTTGTAGCAGAGGTGGTTAGAATGATGCAGTACCTTGACAGCTGTTCTGAATGGCTGAATTAACTAAAGTATGTATTAGCATGAGGAGGAAGTAACTGTCAAACAATAACCGCCCTTGATTTTGGATACAATCTGGTTTTAAATGCCCCGTCTTTCTCTGATTATCTCTGATCATCTGCCAGCAAGGTTTTCTACATAGCCCACTGCAGGTCCACTAATCTTTGCTAGCAGAACACAGGGTGAATAACTGCTTTGGGTTATTATTTTAAGCCTTTTCCTGCTGGAAACTCTCTGACCACACATATTTGACTTAATAAATTTTGCTCTGAATGGGAACTCTAATGCCCTAACTGAAAAGTTCTTCATAAGGCATTATACCAGTTCTGCCTAAAACATGGACAAATTTAATGATCTAAAGGGAAGAACTGCTTAGTTTGCACCTCTTTTTGGATTTCTTTAAGAACATTGCCATGTGGGAGAAAAAAAAAAAGGCAGCACATTTGTGCATTTTTTTGCTAATCCTGGCTATGAAGTTGGTCAGGTGCCACAAGGACTGCAAGTTCCTTGGCTGGTGAAGGTTAAAAGTGCTGCAGAGACAGCCAGCGTCCTAGCATGGAGGATTAGCTCTACAAACAAATATATAAGCACTGAATGGCCAATCTCTTCTGTTGTCTTCTGAAAATGTGCCAGTCAATTTCTTATGCTTGTAACAAAGCAACAGCATCTCTGAAATGCTTTGCTGTAGAACTGCATGCTCTTGATGTCTCTGAGCTATGAGGTTTGGAAGAGTATTGATTCCACCTTTAGCTCTTGTGCTCACAGGCAGCCCTTTTATTCTGCAGTCTCAGTGATCTCAAGATCATGCACACTTCCCTTCATCACTCCACCAGTTGACTCTGCTAGTGCACTCTATTGTCAGGCCGCTGTTGGAGTTTCCTTAGTCACAGATGGACACCGAAAGGGTTGAGACAACCAGCTTTCACCGAACTGTCCCTGCCCTTTCCTGTCTCTTGAGAGCTTCCATTTGCTCAGTCTGTCATCACAGGTTTATTATTTATTTGGTGAAGGGAATACCAAGCAACAGGTTATGCATTTCTCTGAGTGCAATTCTAACCCACTGAGTTCTTCTTTCTGACCAACTTGCTCTTCAATTTGTTCATAGTGAAGCAATAAATCTAAGTAATCTGAGATTCCTTGCATTAGTTTTAACAATTGTTTGGGCCATTCTCTAGCAGTCTATGTCTGTAGCCATTTTTTATCACCTCTTTTTGACTTTCGTATCAAGTAATCTGATTTCTTGATAATAACCAGAAAGTGTTCAAACTGTATGGAGGTCACATCCTGACCATTCATCTTGGGCCTTCTCACCTTTTTAGAAAATGGACTGAGAATAATTGAGGATCCCCAGCAGTTAAGAAACGCCTTCCTCCATGCTCCCCCAAGACTTCTGAAATCATCCACAAATGCTGCAAATGTGAATCTAAGTAAAATCTACCTGCTGTAGTGCAGCTGCAACTGCAACAATAGGCATCTTACAGAAGTGCATGCTAAAAGAATTCTGTGCTCCTGCTTCTGAAAGTGATGCATGGCTTAATTTTTCAGCTAATTCTCCAGAGTGCTGCTGAGAAAAATTAGAGACTGTGTTACCTGCATCCTTTCTCAGCAGTGATCCTGGGCTGTACACAAATCAAACAGTGCCTGTGGCTGATGTGGGAAGTAGTTCATATGAGTGTCTATCATAGAATCATAGAATAGTTAGGCTTGGAAAGGACCTTAAGATCATCTAGTTCAAACCAATAATCCATTTTTCTGGATGCCCATCTTCTTCCTAAACATAATTTTCTATTTTTCCGTTGAAGACACCTAAAATGCACATTCCCTCTTTCTCCCATTGTATTTTTTATGGCAGAGAATCTGTTCATTTTAGAAGGATATTTTGAAAGCTTCAGTACTTTGTATTCGTATGAATGAACCTTACTTTCTATTGGCAGATGCCGTAGACCAGGACTGACATTAACATCAGTCTTTACTTATGCAGCTAATTCTAATCTCTCATTCTTTTTCTCTAGGTTGGATTCTCCAACATTCTGAATCAAATTCTGAAGATCTTCACCAGAAGCTGCTTTCTGTGCAGACACTGGAGAGGTTAGAACAAATTCACAGCGAAGTTAACAATCAGAGGTTTCTACTTTCATAAGCAAAATTACAATAAATGTTTTAATGATGTAGAAAACAGATAGATTATGTGAGACCACTTAACCAAACCAACACGCTAGTCTGCAGTGCATTATTGCTTTGGAAACTCCTGGAGTTCTGTTTGACATTTCACTATTCATGAAAGAGAAACATACACTTTTATTTTAGCCACTGGAAGATAAGAATTATCTCAACAGAGACTTTTTCAGGGACCAGTGGTGAGATCATATTTTCTGATAATGTTTAGTCTGCCAATAGATAAACTTTCATTAGTTGCAAAAAACTGTTTGAATATCTTTTGCAAAAGAAACCATGGTCTATGAAAACTGTTTTGCATTCTGATATTTTGCTGTGATCTGTAGCCTGTTGCCCTGCCAGGGCCTGAAGGAGGATTGCCATAATATATTGGCAATCAGAAAGAGTCAGGCTTTTATACTTCTTTATGCTGCTTATACTTAAGCCTTCTATTTTTACATAGCACAAGATAGCCTTAACATCCCTGAGGTGTCTCATGGAGAACTGGCCCTGTGTTTAAAATGTATGGTAGCTTCAAAATACATCAGCCATCCGCTGAGTACCAACTCTAGTGCTAAAATAGTTCAAGGGATGAAGAAGGTGTCAGAAATAGGTAGGATTTACTCTGCCTGGTCAATTCTCTGAGGAAGAAGTACTGGAATTCATAAAGCAGGCTAGGTTTAAATGGAAAAACCATCTCTGGTAACTAATTATAAGCATTAATTACTTACAAGGACAGTTATTAAAGTTAACCTGCATAATTTGATATCTGCAGCACACTTTCTGAATTTCATCCTGTTAAGTATCCTGCTATTTAACTGACAGTTCCTGTACACTGGCAAAATTGTAAACATACTCAGATTTAATAAGATCAGTATTGTAGCTAAGGTGAAGAATTGTGATCCATAATGAAAGGCTTAGGGGCTAGTGGCTGTATAAAATCAAGCAGTTTTCAGTGTGTAAGAGTGTATATGCTACAATGTATTGCGCGTTGTACAATATAGTACCCTAGCATATTCTTCATTGTGGAATGGTTTATTATCACTGCTTTATTCCTTGAGGAGCTGAGTAGCCCAAAATCTAAAATAACTGATGCTGCAGCTAAAACTGGAGTTTGCATTTTTTGACCAAGTTCTGTATGTCACCCTCCACTAGCTATATAATTTGTGAAGTCAAGAAAAAGAAAAGCAATGAAAAAGCTTAATATTTGATCTTATACTGGAAAAATAATATTTTCTGATTATTTGAATGAGCGCTGTTGTCTCCCCACCTGTTACAGAATGACTCTAAGAGCAGAACCATAGAGTTCTGGAGGACTGTGCAAGCAAGGCAGGGGGTGGCCCCCACAGGTGGCTGGAGACCGGACCTGGGAGGAGAATGTGGAGGAAGCTGTGGGGGGCTAACCAATACTGTTGTGCCAAGAAGGAGTGGCTGAATACCACTCCTATATATGTGTGAACTGCGTCACAAATAAGGTAGAAGTTGCTTATCACCCATATTGGGTTGGCCTGTCTGCTTCTCCTCGCCGCTTACACCCACCCATGAGACATACCATGTCTTAGAATTGCCTATTTTAGAGAACACTGTGAAATGTATCTGTTATTTGTCTTCCTGGATTCTGGGTTTTGTTACACCCCAGCCTGCAATTGTTAAGAACTGGATAGAGTTCTTTCAAACAGTGGGGAATAGCTGTGGTTCTCTGTGGTGCAAATACTCTGAGGTCTACCGTATTACTGTTCCCAAAAGCTTTGCAGTCATCTTATTTAATTTCTGGCATAACCTTTATGCCAGAAATAGGGTCATAGGGTCTCACTACAAAGAAAGTGCTCCCTTTCACAGGACCTGAGCATGTTTGCAGGATTTGCAGACCCTGTTGGCCCATCAAGTTGGAAGTAAAATGCTGCTACTTATATTGCAATCCCCTGATGCTGTCACCAGACTCCTGTGTCAGTGCCATGAGAATTGGCTTAGTGTTCTTGAATATTTATGCTTAGCCTAGTGAGCAAAAAGTTTATAATGTGTAATATTTTATAGCAAAGTTGAAACAGCAAGAAATACTGGCTTGAAGACAAAAATATTCCCTTGATTTCTATCAGCTGATGTTTCACATAATTAGCTTTCCTTAAACATTTAAGCACATTTTACTCATACTGTAGCTGAAGACACAAACCTAATGACTCACTGAGATAACTGTAACTGTACAATAGCTGAGACTTTAAACCAGAAATTTTCAGTCACTCACACTGGCCATGTTGGTTGATAAGGAGTGTGAACCTCCACACTCTACTGCAACTCATGGGCTGAGTCCAGTGACAAAGCATTGAAATGTATGTAGCAAATTCAACAAGCAAGGGGCTGTTCTCTGGTGTTTGTGAGGCTGCC